GAGACCTCAGCTGGCTGGTCGGTCGCGCGACCGGGAGAACGCGCCGTCGCCACAGAGTGAAGTCGTAGCCGCTCGTCGTCGTGATGTCGGAGCCGCGTGGGGCCCCCGCCAACGGCCCCGACGAGTACCTACCTCTGGAGGCCTCTTCGCGATCTCCAGGTCGGCCTCCGTGGCCGCGAGGCGCGGTGCCTCCGTGGCCGCCGGCGCGCGGGCCCCGACGTGGCACCTCCCGCGCGCCGGCCCCGCCATTGCCATGGCGGCCCGGGCCCCACGAGCCTGCCGCCGCGGGCCCTCCCTGCCGGCAGGGCTGGGCACCGCGGAGGGCGGCCACCGACCTGCCCTCGCGCGCCGCGCCCCGCGAGGCGTGGCCACGGCCAGCGTGCCGCCATAGGGGAGCGCCGGCTCGGGAGCGAAGGGCTCCTCTGGCCGCGGCGAGCCTCGGCCTCGACCAGGCTTCCCGGCCTGTGCCGATCCGAGGAGCGGCCCGCGCGCCAGCGCCCCTCCCGAGCCCAAGGTGATCCGGATGTCCGCGGCCCGAGCGTATCCACCCCTTGTAGCGATGCCCTCAGCTTCTTCGGGTCATGAGTTGGCTCTCTGGCGGCCGTTCGGGACGATCCGGGCACCCCCGGAGCGCACTTCGCGAGGCGCAGCTGCTGGAGAGCACCCCGAGGCTGGCGAGGCCGCCGAGGTCCGACGAAAGCGCCCGAGGACCTCCAGCTTAGAACCCCCCGAACGCTGCCCCTGATCAGGGTCAGACATCGACCCCTGGACAAATCGCTCCCCCTGAGCCCAACGTGGCCCTTCTTTTCGGCGTCTCCCTCCTCCTCCTCCTCCTCCTCCTCCTCCCCTTCCTCCTCCTCCTCCTCTTCCTCCGCCTCCTCCTCCTCCCTCCTCCCTCCTCCCTCCTCTCAAGCAACTTGGGCTCGAGCACCAAGTCCTCTCACCCCGCGCGAGAGGCAGGTTGCTCAGCCCAGTCCCACCGCGTCCACGGGGCGCTTGGGGGGCAATCAGTCAGCCGCCCCCGTTTCGCGGCCGATCTGATTGGCGAAGAGTGGGAGAATGGGCAAGACCAAAGCTTCGGCAGTGCAGCAGCAGTCACCAGCTCGTATGTGGTCCAATTGTCACGGCTGTCATCGACACGAATGGAACGACGTGCTGGGCCAGAACTCCAACAAATGCACGCGCTGCCAGCGACAGGTGAAGATATACACGCCGAAGAGTGGAGGCTCCGAGGCCGGAGGCAAAGGGGGCAGCGGCCGAGGCGGAGGGGCAGCAGGAGGCAACCAGCTCCAGCATGCCGTCGCCGCGCCCCCGATCGAGGTCCTCACTCAGGCGCTCGGAGTTGCCAAGGACCCGCTCCTGGTGGCGGCGCTCACGGCGGTTATCCAGCAGCAGGCGACGCCTGTGGCTCCCCCTCAGACAGCAGAGGAGGCAGTCAAGAGGGCGGCGGGCGCGTGGAAGGACGCGAACTTCAAGCACGACCAGGCGGTGCAGCAGGTCAGCAGATGCTGCGAGGCTCTCTCGCGGGCATAGGCCAAAGAAGCCGAGACTGTGAAGGTCCTCGCCGAGGCCGAGATCGCCCGCAGGATGGCGGCGAAGGCATCGGCCGCGCAGGCAGGCTTTGCGGCCGTCCCCGCTGGCGAGATCGGAGACCCGACGCCCAAGGACGGCAAGGTCAAGCTAGAGATCGACTGGGACACCGACTTCTTTGACAAGATTCGGTCGGGCGAGTACGAGTGCGAGGGTACCGAGAAGGAGACCTTGCTCAAGCTCGAGGCCGACTTGCAGGCCACAAAAAAGGATCTCACCGACAAGAGCGAGTCAATCACGAACTGGAGGGACAGGGTGAAAGCCATGCAGGAGGCTGTCACCGCTCGGCACGCCAAGAAGCGCAGGGCCGAGGGAGGAGGCGCTGGTGAGGTTCCGCCTGCAGGCTCAGCGCCAACAGCAGCGGCGGCAGGCCCCGCGGCGGCAGAGGCCAGCGCAGCGGGGGCCACGGCAGTGGCGTCCGCCCCCGCGGGAGAGGCCGACGCCGCCGCCCGCCAGCATGCCGAGGCGATCGAGGCGGAGGTGCAGCGCATCAGGCGGGCCAAGGAGGCGGCAGCGGCGGCGGCAGCGCAGGCAGCGCAGGCCGCGGCCGGTGCCGTGGCAAGTGCAGCCAGCAGCGCCCAGGGCGCCGCGGCGGCGACAGCGTGATCTACGCAAGGGGCCAGCAGCGGCCCCTCGAGGTTCGCGAGGGCGCCCTCGCCTCGCGCAGCCAGTCCAGTCTCTGAGGGCCAGCAGATTCCATCGCAGCCGAGCTCTTCGTCGACGGCTTCGGCAACTTCGTTTTCATCCTCGACGGGAACTCAGGGGTAGAAGCCCATAGCCTCAGCAGGGGAGGCTCCAGGCTCAATTTCCTACCGTTCTCGGTCGAGACGATCGCCAACCGATTCAAGTGGGGAGTCGGCGTCAACGGTCACACAGATTTTCTTCAGTAACGTCACCTTCCTCGGGCGGAAAGCATGGGACTCCATCTGCCATCTACACTCGTCCAAAGTCTTCCAGCACTTCGCCATCTGCGAGACGCACATCAGTGAAGGCTCCTCGGCAGATTGGAAGAGGAAAGCTCGTCTTGCCAAGTTTCGATGCCACGTGAATGCAGCTAGGCCCACGGGGCGTCGGTGTCTCACCGCCTCGGGGCAATCACGTGCGACTAAAGGCGGTGAGTTGTTTTTGTCCGAAGGTCATCGTCAAACACATGCCTTGTCTCAGCACAGCAGTGAGTTGTCTCAGTTATGCTCGGAGGGGATGAGTATGCTACATGGATTTCTCCCTGTAGTCGTGAGGCAGCACGGCTATAGCATTGTAGGTTTCACTTTTTTACGGGTACCACTCCCAGGGATATGCTGGTCAAAACCTCGAGCGTCTGGCCTAACTTGGGTCCATGTTGCAGGCCCTGCATCTTCCGTGCGACCTTCCCGACGTCCGGCGTCGCGCGTGGGGGGAACACAGGCGGGCACTGCCGCACAGCTCTCGTCCCCAGCCTGCTGCGACATCTCTCGGGCCATGGGGAGGAGGAGGAGGACAAGCCAGGTGCGCTCGCGCCATATCTGACGTCCTACCCCTCCCTCCCGTCCTTTACCATGACGTAGATCTCGTCTGTATTCGCGCAGCCGGATGTCGTAGCAGGGCGTAGCATTACATGGCATAACATGGCGTTGAAGATCAACGCGTAGCCTGACATAGCATGGCGTGGCGACGCCCCAAAGTGAGGGGGGGCTTCTGCGGCCCAACAAATCAACGAATCAATACCGAATGTGTCATCACTTCCGATGGTTGCTTCGGTGTGTCATTTTCTAAATTTTTGGGCCTACTTGGCAGGACCGAAAACCATGCCGTGGCAGGGCGCTGGGAATAATGACGCAAGAGCTGCAACTGGAGCACGATTCGGAACGAGCGGAAACGCGAACATGAGGCCAGCGCTGCAGCGGGAACACGATTCGGACGGAGGACGCGTCGCTTGACATCGCATGGCGTGGTGACGCCCCAAAGTGGGGGGGCTTCTGCGACACAGAGAATTAACGAATCGACGCCGAATTTATAATCACTTCCGATGGTTTCTTTCGGGGGGTAGGGGGGGCATTTGTTTTAGATGTTGGGGCCTAGTTGGAAGGACCGAAAACCATGCCGTGGCATGCCGCTGGAAACAATGACGCCAGCGCTGCAGCGGGAGCACGATTCGGAACGAGCGGAAACGCGGAAATGAGGCCAGCGCTGCAGCGGGAGCACGATCCGGAACGAACAGTAGCCCGAAAATAAAACCAACGCTGCAGCGAGAGCAACATTTCAAAAACAAGCCCATGCGAAAACCCGTTTCCCGGGAATCCTGTGGAAAAAAACAGTGCGCGGAGGGGGGGCGAACATTACCCGCACATCATCAAGAGAAAGAGGAAAGTAGTATTAATGTTGTGTAATTGTGGAGGGGGAGGAGGAGGGGTGGGAGTCGGAGTAGGAGTCGGAGTAGGAGTAGGAGTAGGGGGAGGAGGACGAGGAGGACGAGGAGGACGAGAGGAGGAGGAGGAGGAGGAGGAGGAGGAGGAGGAGGGGGAGGAGGAGGAGGAGGAGGAGGAGAGGAGGAGAGGAGGAGGAGGAGCAGGAGGAGGAGGAGGAGGAGGACGGGGAGGAGGAAAAGGAGGGGGGGGATAGGAGGAGGAGGAGGAGGAGGAGGAGGAGGAGGAGGAGGAGGAGGAGGAGGAGGAGGAGAAGGAGGAGGAGGAAGAGGATGAAGAGGAGGAGGAGGAGGAGGAGGAGGAGGAAGAGGAAGAGGAACAGGAGGAGTCAGGAGTCGGATGCCTCGGCAGCGGGTGCTCTCGGTGACCGAGCGCGCGTGACTCGCCGATCTGACGAATACTGTAACTGCTGGCTGGTTTACAGGCTGACAGTTGAGGGGGCCTGTGGGACCCTGTTGGCTGAAGTGGCCTTGGGCCCACGTCGGCACATGGCCGAGCCCCCAGGTCGCGCGAAAAAGCACTCAGTCCAGGGCGGTGGTCTATGGCGCTTTGGCCCATCCCCGCCGCACTCGGAATAGGTACGATCATCGCTTCGGCGTGAGCCTATCGTCCATACGCGTAGCTGCATTCGTATGGAAGACCCCCCCCCACACTCAACCCTCTCCCCCGCCCCCCTCCTCCCCCAAGCCACCTTTGTAGCTTGGTCGCGATCTGTTCCTCTGGATTGGCAATGATCATGGTCCGGCCCAGAAGAGGGGGACCAAACACAACACCATTGGCGAAATCAAAAAATCTGCTGAGACCTGGCAACGCTGCTGTGTACCCCGCCCGCCCCACTCCAGTCTCCGTCCCGAAAACTCACGCTTGCCGATTCTCTGGAGTAGCTCTGCCGCTCGGACGCTTCCCGGTGCAGCTAACTGGCGAAGCTGGGGAAGCTTAACTTGCTGTTATCTTGAATCGTTGGTTGCGTGCTGCTTGCTTGCTGCTGTCTTGCCCACTCCCTGACTCACATGTTCGCGATGCGGTCGCGTAAGTAGTTCTGCAGCCTGCGCTCGAGGGCCGTCGGCCGCAGTGCTCCCGCGATCGCCTGGCGGCCGCTGTTCGTGATCGCCACGTGCGTCGCCGTGCGGAGGTGATATGCCTGGATCAGCTGCAGCTTGATGCGCTCCTTGCCCTGCTTCTGCCGCTTCTGGTCGATCTTGCCCTCGTACTCCTCCGTCCATGGACTCATTGCTAACGCATTGAACATGCACCTTCCATCTGGCTCCTTTTCCCTGGCTCGCTGTATGGTTTCTTCACCATGAAGTAGGGCAGCATGTCTCCGAACAAGTCCTGGTGGATGACTCCGATCACCAAGGCGAAGTGATCTAGGGTCTCTTGATGCGGATGCGGCGTGGAAGTCAGGTTTGCCAGCTCGTCGAATAATGCTGCTCCGATGTGCACGTGGGGTGGCCCCAAGTTCGTCATACCGTCCTTCACCTTGTCCGCGTCTTCTTGTCCTTCCTGCGCGCCTGCGTCCGACGGTGTGTGGTCGCTCTCGATCAGGTAGAAGGCCCACAGGCTGCCCGGTAGTCGCCGTATGATCTGCGCGCTGTTGAGGCACATCTCCTCGATGATCACCATCTCGTCGTCCTTGCTCCCCTCGTTGGCGGACCCAGTGGATTTGCCAATGCCTTTCTTCCCCTTGCCACCTGCGTGCTTGGGTGGTCACTGTGCTGCACCTGCGTCCACCTCCATCGTCTCCGTCCTTGGTCGTCCGCCTTTTGCTGCGCTGGAAGCCCTCCACATCTGCTCGACTGGTTGCTGTCGCGCGTGGTCCAGATGATGCTGTAGTTCGGTATCCTCGTGGCGGCAAGCGCCGCAATAGTACACAGGTTGTACCTCGGGCCGAACAACAAAATACGTAATTCGTGTAGGGCATGAGCGCGGGTTACGCTGGGACATGTTGCGAACATGACGTAGGCATGATTCACGGCTGGCGGAAACTGTACGGCACGATGGGCACACGTTGGTAATCACCACCAGCGAGTATATGTTCCTCGTCTTGTGAGCGTGCGTGGCGCGTGCCCTGAGTGCTGTCATGTTATTGCACGTGCTTGTACACATCGTGCCGTCTGTGTTCTCGTGCGTGCATATGTACTCATCTTCGATGCTGCTGTGGTTGCTTATGTCGCTCTGTATCTCCAAGGTCCCTATCCTGATGGCTTCTCCTCCGATGCTTCCAGAAGCCCGAGATGTTGTAGTACCCGTTTCGATATGCTGATGTTGTTGGCGCTCAGAGGGGGCCTTAGGGAGCTGATCTTGATCTTACAACAACTCTTCCTGATGACGTGGTCCTGGAACGGCTGCAACACGTTTTCTTGTCAGTCCATGCCCCTGCGAAGGAGCTCTCGAAGTTCTCTACATACTGCATGCCCTCCAGGCGTTGTCTTGCCCACGGCGTGCTGTGTTCTGTCAGGGTGCCCACGGCGTTAAACCTGCACTTGCCCAACTGCATGTCGAGCTCTGTTGTCCCGAACATGGCTGTGAACACTTGGCGGTGATTCTCGGGTTCGTTCGAGATGCGCTGCCACCAGCGAAGCCGCTTGATCTTCAGCTCCGTGGCAGATCGGTTAATGTTCCAATGATCAAATACTTCACTGTTTTGAAGAGACCTTGTTCGTCCATCGCCGCACTGCAATTCATAAGACACCTGAGAAGCCGAGCAAGCGCCGAGTCCAGCTCGTCTGCAAATTCCTTCGGCAGAACAAACGCTGTAAGGCAGTGATCGTTGCGCTGTACACAAAGCACCGGACAAACATGCGGTGTTGCTTGTGCGGGAGGTGCATGCGCCATACCTGTCCTAGTGCACGCCGTACACGTGCTCCTCTGCTGCGGTTCTTGGTTTCCGTACGGAGTATGCCGTCGAAGCTGATGATTGGGCCCAGGGCCCGTGCTTCCCGAAGTCTTTCCCCTTTGGCCTTCCCCTGACGTCCGAGTTCCCTTTGCCGCCTCGAAGGGGCCCGTGCCTGGTAGGAGGAGTGCGGGTACCCTGGGGGACGCGAGTCTTCCGATGCGCGCCACCGAGCACAAAGACAGGCAGTGGCAAGGGGGAGGAGGAGGAGGAGGAGGAGGAGGAGGAGGAGGAGGAGGAGGAGGAGGAGGAGGAGGAGGAGGAGGAGGAGGAGGAGGAGAAGGAGGCAAGTAGAAGGCAGACTGGTAGGAGGAGGAGGAGGAGGACGAGGGGGAGAAAGAGGAGGGGAGCGCAGGCGCGAGGCAAGACGAGGACGACAACCCGAAGGCTTAGGAGGGGGGGGGGTGCGGTGGAGAGAGGAGAGCGGCGCAGCGAAGAGGAGCGCGAGGGGGAGAACCGGCGGCGACGCCTCCGAACACGACCCCCGACGTCCGCCGGGAGGCCCAGGAGGTCCCAAGCGCTTCCCCTCGGCTTGCTTTTCGCCCCGGATCCGATCTGATGGCCCTGGGGCCTGAGACTCCCGGAGATCCTGGCGTCTCAACTTTTTCGAGCCAGGCGTTGTGTGTGTGTGTGTGTGTGTGTGTGTGTGTTTGTGTGTGTGTGTGTGTGTGTGTGTGTGTTTGGAGCCTCAAGACCCTCACATATCGATCCGGCTCGAAAACTGACGCGTAAAGGTGCGGTCTAGGGCACCGGGCGTAATTTTTTAAGATCTCGCCATCGCTCGGACGTCCATTGCCTGTGCATTCTTCGGTATCGTGCGTTTTTGTTTGTTTTTTTTGTTGTTTTTTGTTTTTTGTTTTCTTCTTCTTATTCTTCTAACTGTTTGGGGGAAAATCCGCCAGATGATCGAGGATGCTCCTCGCTGTCAGCGAGGATCAGCCTGATCCTCGCCGAGAAGGAAGGCACACGTCCGAGCGATGCTCAGGAAAACGCCCCCGAGGGGTGAAGTTTGGGGAAAGCGCCAGGATTGAAACCTCCTATCGCCAGAGCTCTGGGGCGGCGGCGGCGGCGGCGCCGGCGGCGACGCCGCCGCTGACGACGCCGACGGCGGCGGCGACGGCTGCGGCGAGGACGCCGACGACGGCTACGAAGGCGGCGGCGAGGACACGGCTACGACGGCGGCGGCGATGGCGTCGGCGAGGACGCCGGCGACGACCGCTGGCGACGCCGCCGCTGACGACGCCGGCGACGGCAAGCAGCGAGGACGCCGCCGACGGCTACGACGGCGGCGGCGAGGACGACGGCGACGACCCGCCGCCGCCGAGGAGCACACTCGGCAGGGCCTGCCGCGGCAGCCTTGGCTGGCTCGGCGCCCGCGGCCCAGCCGAGGGCCTGCAGCAGCTCCAGCCGCTCGAGCGCGCACCTGCTCGGAGGCGTCGGCCGCTCGCGGGCGCCGCGCCGCCGCCGCAGCTCGCCGCCGCAGCCGCCGCCGCCGCCGCTCTCGCCGCCGCCGCCGCCGCCCCGCCGCTCCAGCCGCTCGAGCGAGCACCTTCTTGGAAGCGTCGGGGAGACTCGGGGGAGGCCCGGCGTGCCCTGGAGAGAGGGGCCTCAGGGCCCGCCCCGACGCGCCCAACGGCTGCGCTCCGGCGCCCGCCGAGGTGGGAGCCGTGGCCGAAGCGCCACCTCACTGGGGCCACGCCGCCCGGGGGATGCGCGTGGCAGCGCTCGGCCCTCCCCAGGAGACGTACGACCCGGGCTCGGGGGACTCGGGTTGGCCTGACGGGGCCGTCATGGAAAGGACGAGGCGCCGTCAGACATTTGGCGCGAGCTCCCGCTGCAAGCATCCTGCGAACACTGGACCGCCAAAAATCAGGACGGGCCCGTTCGGCAAACGCGAGCTCTGGCGAACTCGAGTCCTGCGTTTCCCTCCCCGAGAGTGGAAGCTCGCGGGTGCCGCCGCGCCGCGCGGCCGTCGCGGCCGTCGCCATCGCCGCCGCCCCGGACCTCCTTGAGTGGGACTTTTCTCCACGGCGGAATGTTTTTGGTCATTTTCGGTTTCTGGGTGCCCTTGCTGGGACTCGGGGCCGTCGAAGACGACTCTGGATGACAAGCCAATCCCGGGGAAGTGGTCAAGGCCTCCGGCGGATGCGCGTGGTGAACAAAAACAACCGCCGCCGCCACTGCCGCCGCCGCCGCCGCCGACGCCGCGGTCGTCGTCATCGTCGTCGTCGTCGTCGACGACGTAGTCGTCGTCGTCGTCGTCGTCGTCGTCGTCGTCGTCGTCGTCGTCGTCGTCGTCGTCGTCGTCGTTGCTCGCCGACCATGTCGTCGTAATCGCCGCCGTCGCCGTTGCCGCCGCCGCCGCCCCAGATCTCCAGCGATATTATTCTCAACCATCCTGTGGTGTTCGGTCCTCGCTTTATGAGACAGCGCCACGCGTCACTCCTTCCTCCTCCTTGTCTTCCTCCTCCTCCCTCCTGCTCCTCCCTCCTCCCATCCTTGCCTCTGCCCTCCGCGTGTCCATGTCGGCGCACCCCTGACAGTCTCGTGGCTCCAAGGGGAGCTCCGCCGAAGGCCCCCGTGGCAGGGTTCGCATGGCGCCACCGCGCCAGCGTCGGCACCTCTCTCGCACCTTTCGTAGCCCCACAGGGAGCTCAGCCGAAGGCTCCGGTGGCAGGGCTCGCATGGCGCTGCCGCACCCTTTTCGGCGCGCGTTGCGTGGCCCCCACAGGGAGCTCCGCCGGACAAGGGCAAGGTTCGCAGGGCGCTGCCGCACCCCTCTCGGCACGCCCCTTCACGCTCACCCTGGCCCCACAGGGGGCCCCAGTGGCAGGGTTCGGCTGGCGCCGCCGTGCCAAGTTCGGCACACCCAGCACACGCTGCGTGGCCCCACAGGGAGCTCCGCCGAAGGCCCCAGCGGCAGGGTTCGCATGGCGCCATTCGGCATACCCCTCACACGCTTCGTGGCCCCATCGCGTCGAGCTCCACCGAAGGCCCCGGGGGCGTTCGCATGGCGGCGCCGCATCCCTTCAACGCCCCAGTTCTTGTGCTGGTCCGCTCCTTCTTTTCACCTGCCCCGCGGTACTCGCAGCTGCATACGGTTGGTGTCCCCGCTGTCGCGAGGATTAGTTGCCAACCATCCTGTTGTGTTGGGTCCTCGTTTTGAAGAGAGAGCGCTTCGCGTCACTCCTTCCTCCCTCCCCCTCTCTCCTCCATCCTCCTCCCCTTCCCCCTCCTCGTCCTCCTCCTCCTCCTCTTTCTCCTCCCCCTCCTGCCTCTCCCATCATCAGCATCATCATCATCATCATCAGCACCACCATCGTCATCATCATCGCCATCATCGCTCAGCATCACCATCATCATCAGCATCATCAGAAACATCATCGCCATCACCATTACCATCATCATGATCGTCACTATCATGACCACCTTCACTATCATCCGCATCCGCATCCTGTTCCTCATCCTCGTCAGCATTAGCATCACCACCACCACCATCACCATCACTACCACCACCATCATCATCACCACCAGCATCACCATCGCCATTACCATCATTATCACCATCACCACCATCACCACAACCATCATCAGCATCCTCATTAGCATATCATTATTGCCATCATCGCCGTCGTCGGCATCATAGTTATCAGCATCAGCATCACCGCCATCACCATCGTCATCATCACCGCCACGACCACCATCAGCATCATCAACATCAGTATCATCAGCAGCAGCGGCATCAGCACCACCATCAGCATCAGCATCAGCATCATCATTATCATCACTATCAGCAGCGTCATCATCACCACCATCATTATCATCAGCATAATCATTTTCATCAACATCACCATCGCCTTCATCAGTATCAGTATCAGTTTCAGTATCAGTACCACCAGCAGTATCAGCATCATCACCAACATCACCACCACCATCAACATAACCATCGTCACCATCATAAGCATCAACATCATCATCACCAACATCCTCATACTCATCCTCCTCCTCCTTCTCCCCCTCCTCCTCGTCATCATCATCATCATCACCATCATCAACATCATCATCACCATCACCATCACCATCACCATCACCATCACCATCACCATCACCGTCACCACCACCACCACCATCATCATCATCATCATCATCATCATCACCATCGTTATCATCGTTATCATCGTTATCATCACCATCACCATCACCATCACCATCACCATCACCATCACCATCACCATCACCATCATCATCATCATCATCATCATCATCATCATCATCATCATCATCATCATCATCATCACCCTTCCGGCACACCCCTCACACGTTTCGCGGCCCTATAAGAGGGGGCTCCACTGAAGGCTCCAACGGCAAAGTCCGAATGGCGCACCCGCACCCAATTCGCCAGCACTTACACGTTCCGTGGCCCCATATGGAACTCCACCGAAAGCCCCAGCGGCAGGGTCTGAATGGCGTACCCGCACCCGGTTTGGCACACCCGTCGCACGTTTTGTGGCCCCATAGGGAGCTCCACCGACGGCTCCAACGGCAAGGTCCGCATGGCGTGCCCGCACCCCATTCGGCACACACTTCGCACGTTTCGCGGCCCCATAGGGAGCTCCACCGACGGCCCCAGCGGCAGGGTCCGCAAGGCATGCCCGCACTCGATTCGGTACATTCCTCACATGCTTTGTGGTCCCACATGGTCCACCGAAAGCCCAAGCGGCCGGGTCCGCATGGCGTACCCGCACCCGATTTGGCATACCAATCACGCCTTTCGTGGCCCCATGACTCTACCGAAGGTCCGCGTGGCGTGCCCGCGCCCGATGCGGCACACCCTTTAAACGCTTCGTGGCCCCACAGGGAACTCCACCGAAGGCCCCGGCGGCAGGATCCGAACGGTGTTCCCGCACCCGAGTTGGCACACCCCTAACACGTTTCATGACCCCATAGGAAGCTCCAACGAAGGCCCCAGCGGCAGGGTCTGCATGGCGTGCCCGCGCCCGATTCGGCATACCCCTCACGCGCTTCGTGGCCCCATAGGGAGCTCCACCGAAGGCCCCAGCGGCAGGGTCCGCATGGCGTACCCGCGCTCGATTCTGCACGCCTCTTATACGTTTCGGAGCTCCACCGAAGGCTCCAAAGGCAAGGTCCGCATGGCGTGTCCACACCCAATTCGGCACACCGTGGAAACTTTTCGTGGCCCCATAGGGAGCTCCACCGAAGGCCCCAGCGGCAGGGTCCGCATGGCGCGCCCGCGCCCGATTCGGCACGTCTCTCGCACGTTCTACCGAAGGCCCCAATGGTAGGGTCCGCATGGCGTGCCCGAGCCCGCGTTGGCAGACTCCTCACACGTTTTGTGGCCCCATCTGGCGATTCCCCTCCTTCGTAGCATGTGCTTCGCGGTGCTCACACTTGCATATGGCTGGGTCCTTCGCCAAGATACCTTGCAATCTGAGCGTTTTTCTTTGATTTCGGCCCCATGGCCATCAAACATATGGCCGATTCCGGAAACCCTGAACCAAAAACGTTTTCATCTCTTGGGGGCGCATTTTTTACTTCCGCCGCCTTCCGCCAGCCTTCCGCTGGCTTCCGCCGGCGGAAGCGGCCTCGTTTTACTTTCCGCCGCCTTCCGCCAGCCTTCCGCCAGCTTCCACCGAGGAAGAGATGGCAACTCCTTCGATCCTCGCACTTTTTGGAGCGCCCCATATTTCTGGTGCGACAGACTGGCCCTCATGGAGCCGCGGATGGAACAAATCACATCGGCGGATGTCAGGGGCCGCCAGCAGCGTCGTCGTCGTCGTCGTCGTCGTCGTCGTCGTCGTCGTCGTCGTGGTCGTCGTCGTGGTCGTCGTCGTCGTGGTCGTTGTCGTGGTCGTCGTCGTGATCGTCGTGATCGTCGTCGTCGTCGTCGTCGTCGTCGTCGTCGTCGTCGTCGTCGTCTTCGTCGTTGTCGTCCTCGTTGTCGAAGGTCGCGCCGCGCGCGCTCCCTGCCAGTCACTGACGCCAAGGCAGCGTCGCTTTCGGAGGAAGAGGCACGGAGGACTGGCAATTACTTCGTCGGGCGGCGACGCCGGGAGGTAAGACAAGGAGGGAGGGGACACTGTTAGGTCGGGCCTGTCCCCCTACAGGGGGATTTTTGTCGAAAAATTAGAAATACTCAAAAATATTCCCAAATACTCAAACTTATCAATTCATTATATATATATATATATATATATATATATAACACTCCAAATGCTCGAAACGAGTCAAAAAATAGTCCCCAGACTATTTTCTGACCAATTTTGGAAGTCTCCTCCCGTAGAGGGACAGGCCCGACTCTCAAGGGAGCTGCCTGGAGCGGCCAGGGCCACGCGCGGAGACGGGCGAGGGGGGGGGGGGGGACATCCTCCGGCCCATGCCCCGCACCGGGCGCTGAACCCCCCCTCCATCCCGACCCCGTCGAGGCCCTTCAGGCGGGACGCCGCCAGCTCCGCACCCGGGGCAAACTTCTTGGTCGGCGGGGCGAGAGCGAACCTCTTCCGCCAAAAGCTAGGCGGGCTCCGTGCAGCTTCAATTAGGGAGACAGGGCACAGGCGGGCGGGGCCTCCGCACTCGGGGCAGACGCGCTGGGCTACGCCGGCATCCGCGGACGAGTCGGGAGGGGGGAGAGGGGCAGGAGCAGGGGGCGGGAGGCGGATCTCCGCCTCCGCCGCAGCTTCCGTCTCCTTCCTCCCGCCCGCTTCCGCTCGGCATCCGCATTCCCCCCTCCCTCCCGTTGCATCCCCCGTGCCCTTGCCCATCCCCGTGCTCATCCGCACTCCTCAACCCTTCGCCATCTTCCCCCATCCCCCTTCCTTCCTTCCTTCCTTCCTTCCTTCCTTCCTTCCTTCTTATTCCTTGCTTCCTTATTCCTCCTCCTTATTCCTTATTCCTTCCTCCTTATTCCTTATTCCTCTTCCTTATGCATCTCCCTCGTCCTCCTTATTCCTTCCTTCCTTCCTTCTCCTCCTACTCGTCTCCCTCCTTCTGTTTCCCCTCCTCCTCCCCCCCCCCTACCGCCCATACTTGGAACATCACCTCCTGCAAAACACGCGTCAACATCACTCACTGATGGCAGCTGCGAACATCCGACGCAACAGTGGAGAACTGATCAACAGCACGCAGAATGCCAGTCCTGCACGCCGAGTGCGGCGGAGATGCAGAATGCAGAAGGTGCGACGTTTGGATAACATCTCGGGCTGCCGCCTGCGCTGCTACCATCCGCACAGAGGCCCGTGTCGATTGCAATAGCCTCAGCAAGAAAGGAAAATACGTGCCTACTGGTTGCAACAGCACAACATTGAGATCAATCCACCAGCCCAATTGGGCTACTGGGTGTGAGATGGACGCAAATCCGCTCAAAATCGGTCTCCGGACCCCTCCCAGGGCCCATCTGGTCCAGTTTTTCACTCCAGATGCATGTTTGACGGTCCCAGGGCCCGAAAACGGCCGCAGGAGACAGAAAAGGGTTAAAACTTTCTTAGACCAACCGCCTCGAATCGCCCCCCTCCTCCCCGCTGGCTGGAACCAATGCTGGGCCACCTCAGATCACCAGCGCGGGCGAAGCACCAATGGACGCCGCCGCATCGCGAGGAGAGAACCCGAAGAGGTTTGGGCAACTGTGTGTGGTCCCCGGCCGCCATCCCGGACAGCCCCGAGATGTCTTCGCCCGAGGAGGCCCAAAGAGGAGTTCAGGCGCGGTGGGCCCCAGAAACGGCAGGGCCGTTTTTTCCACCGTTTCCAAAAAAATGCCTCTTGAAAATGGAAACGGTAAAAAAACGGCGACCAAAAACTGCAAAAAAACGGCTCCGGGATTGGAACCGGAGCCGGAACCGGTCAAAAGACGGCGACGGAACCGGTAAAACAACGGCATCGGAACGGGCAACAAAAACGGCAAGACGGAACCGGTAACAAAAACGGTCCTGTCGTTTCCAGGGCCCACTAAGGTCCCCGGCCGCCATCCAGGACAGCCCCGAGATGTCTTCGCCAAAGGAGGCCCGAAGAGGAGGTCAGGCGGCTCACGGGAGCCCCAAACTGAAGGGGCCCTGGGACACACAAATAAATACACAAATAAAAAGATGCCCCATATTTTCCTATATTTTCTGGGTTTTTGTCTTCCCCTCCACTTCCTATATTTTCCTATATTTTCTGGGGAATCGCCGATTAATTGTGTCTGTGTGTTTTTTCCCCTCCTGACAAACCCAGACCCCATCGGGTCGTGGCGCACATCTCGACGGACCATTTTTGTATTGGTTTCGGCCTCCGGAGGCCCTTGCCGGGCCCCGGGGCCGTCAGAAAGAGCGACGCAGGAGGAAACGCTGGTCAAGGGGAAGTGGTCCAGACCTCTAGGGATCCACGTCATGGAAAATCACGACGTCGGGGGTCAATGGATATGCCCTGCTTCCTTCGTTTTTTTTTTTTTTTTTTTTTTTTTTTTTTTTGTTGTTTTTTTTGTTCCTCCTTTTTTTTTCTGCGTGACCTTGCGGAAATCCCCCGCGAAACTTCACAAGCACGCGACGCCCCGGAAAGACGCTAGAACACCTAACCTCATGCCCGTGAGAATAAACACTAGGGGATAATAAAGTTCGGGGTTCAGGGAGAGATAATAAAAGTAGCCCAGCAGACCTCAGCATAATCTCGAAGTAAGAGATGATCAAGAGGAGACCAAGCCGAACACGTTTTGAGACATCCTTGGCGTTTAGTTTTCATAGAAATATCCTCAACAATGGCTTATCTCTCATGAAAATTGTTTTGTGTAAGTGCTCGTGTAGGGTAGCTCATGTGCCTCAATTTCCATGGATAATCAGCCCCAGAGATAAAAAAGTTCAGGCGAGCGTGGGGACAGAGAGAAATATAAAAGAAGAAGAATACAGTAGAATAATAATAAGAAAGAAGAAGAGGATAATAAGAAGAGGACGAAGAAAGGAAACATCCAAAGTTCCAAATCTATCAATTTTAATTTACAAACGCTTTATGAACATTTTTTTTTTTTTTTTTTTTATATATAAAAAAGTGCTCGTGTAGGGTAGCTCATGTGCTTCATTTTCCATGGATCATCAACCCCATGGATAAAAAAAGTTCAGGCGAGCGTGAGGACATATAGAAATATAAAAGACGAAGAGGAAAGTATAATAATAATAAGAACATTGCTCATTTCGTTGGAGTCTGCCTCCCAAAATTATTGGTTTCGCTTGACACATCCTGAAAAAGTGTGATCGCTTCGCTTGATGTTGCTATATCAACATCGCTTGATGTTGCTATCTCAACATAGCGTTTCGAGGTGATAATGAAGTTCGGCCTCAGCGCTCGCCGCCCAATTTGAACTTTGTATAGGGCGACGATAATCAACTCTAAACACTGAAGGGGGGGGTCCCTTTATTATCATCGGCATGCGGTTACCCGCCCTCCGCCTTCCTGATCCTCCCGCTAAGTCGCTTCGTTGGTGGCGGGGGGGCGGAGGAGGAAGACGAGGAGGAGGAACACCAACGACGTAACCCAAGGCTGATCACCGATGTTGCAATGAACCCTCCCTCCCAGGCTCCCTCTTCACAGGACCCTACTACGGGTTCATTTCCACAAAGGGAAACTGCTTACTGGGCCCCTATAACACTTTTTTTCGCTGCGGGGAGAGCCACGTTGAAAAACAATAGTATGAACATGTCCACCCGTGCCAGCGCACCATTTCTGGGACTTCAACGCCGCGAACCAACGTGCTGTTGCGACCTGGCGATCCGAAAATGTGTCAGAATACTATTTCTGGGGCGCCAGCACCGCGCACCAACGTGACCGTCGCACCCTGACAATCCGAAATCGTGCCAAACCAAAATTTATGGGACGTCTGCCAACAAACATTGAAACTTTTGTGAGCTGTGAATGCGAATGTGCGCGGCGTTAATGCGAGAACCACATTTTGAAAAAGGGGCCGCCCAACACTCGTCGAACTCTTGCAAACTTTAAGACGGTTGTGCGCGGCGCTAAGGCGAGAACCACATTTCGGAAAGGAGCCGCCCTCCATCCGTGAAGCCCTTGCAAAGACCTAAGACGAATGTGCACGGCGCTGAGGCGGGAACCATATGTTGAAAACAATCCGCGTTCCATCCGTGAATTTGTTGCAGCGTTCAAGCTTCAGGATCATGACTGGTGATAAAATCTCAAGCGAAACGCGGGCCCGCCTTACCGACCCGTCTCGAAGAGGAGGAGGAGGAGGACCAGTGTAAACCCAAGACTCATCAACGATGTTGGAATAAACCCTCCCTCCAAGCTCCCTCTTCATAGGCCGATATTACGATTCATTTCCATTGAAAAAACTGCCTCGTTGGAAGAAAACCGTTTCACGACCCTGAAGCATGCAGAGATATCGTTCTCGGGATTGTAACGCCACGGCTTAACTTGACTGTTGCGCCTTGGCGATCCTGAATCGCGCCCGAAAGCCATTTCTGGAATTGTAGCGCCGTGAATCAACGTAACTGTTGCGCCTGCATAATCCAGAATCCTTCCAGACACCATTTCTGGTACGCTGTCCATGAGAATCCGTGAAACTCTTGCACATGTTAAGAACGAGTGTGCGCGGCGCTACAGCGAGAACCACATTTTGAAAACGGCCCGCCCTCCATCTGTGAAGCTGTTGCCAATGTTGAAAATTCAGAATCGTAAATGGTGAGGAAGTCTCAGGCGAAACGCCCTGCCCGTCCTGAAAACTGGCCTCGGGGTGCGACAGAGAGAAATTGTTCACCAGGAAAAGGAATGGAGGAGGAGGAGGAGGAGGACCAGTGTAAACACAAGAGTCACCAACGCTGTTGGAAGAAACCCTTCCTCCAAGCTCCCTCCTAACACATCCCTGCTACGATTCATTTCCACAGAATGAACTGCCTCGTTGGAAGACAGCCGTTTGAAGACCCTGAAGCATGCCAAGACATTTTTCTCGGGATTCCCACGCCGCGGGCCAACTTGATTGTTGCGTCTTGACGATCCGGAATCGTGATCGAAGACCATTCCTGAGACTTCAACGCCGCGAACCAACGTAACTGTTGCACGCTCATAATCCCGAACCCATCCAAAACACGCTTTCTAGTACGTTGATCGTGGGAAGCCGTGAAACTCTTGCACATGTTTGTAACGAATGTGTGCGGCGCTACGGCGAGAGCCATATATTGAAATGGAACCGCCCTCCATCCGTGAAGCTCCTGCACAATTTTAAACGAAAGTGCGCGGCGCTACGGCGAGAACCACATTTTGAAAACGGGTCGCCCTCAATCCGTGAAGCCGTTGAACATTTCTAAAACGAATGTGCGCGGCGCTAAGACGAGAGTCACATTGTGAAAACAACCCGCCCTCAATCCGTGAAGCTCTCTTGAGTTCTTAAAGCGAATGTGCGCGGCGCTAAGGCGAGAGCCGCATTTTGAAAACGATCCGCCCTCCATCTGTGAAGCTGTGCCTTACTTTGAAGCTTCAGGGCCATTAGTGGTTAGGAACTCCCATGCGAAACGCCCGGCCCGTCCTAAAAACTGTCCTCGGGGTGCGACAGGGAGAAGTTATATTAAAAAAGTACAAGGAATGAAGGAGGAGGAGGAGGAGGAGGAGGAGGAGGAGGAGGAGGAGGAGGAGGAGGAGGAGGAGGAGGAGGAGGCCACCACCATGCCACACCCCACCACCTGACGACGGCCGCCGCCCGACGCCGCCGCCACCGCCCACTACTGCCCGCCCCCTCCCCCCCCCGTTCCTGTCGCTGCTGCTGCCACGGCTGGCGATCTGCACAGCTCCCGAGATCTCCTTGGGTATGACTTTTCGGCGTCGTCAGCGGTGGCTTCGCCGTCGCCGTCCCCAGGTCTCTGACATGTTGTTTTGTTTTGTTTAATCCGGGCGTTCCTTCTCGATTTCGGCCCCACGCCATCTATGTCAGCGCCACCCGCGCGCCAGCAACTGTAGAAGCACAGACTCTCGGAGATGCTCGCGGATTTCTTGGATCGGCGCTGGAGCCCCCCTGGCGTCGCCTCTGGCGTCGCCTCTGGCGCCGCCCCTGGCGCGGTCCGTGCGCCAGACAGGGAGGCACATCGCTGACGCAAGAAACCCGCATAGACCTCTGGACGTTTATGTTTACGCAGTCTTATGATTAATGCTATTATTATTTTTATTATGATTATTATTATTATTATTAACCTTATTCTTATTACCATTATTACTTTTTTGTTTACTACTATTATTATTCTTATCATTATTATTATTGTTACTACTAGTATTTCATTACTATTGTTTTCTTATTATTACTACTATTTGTTCTGAGTGTTCTTTTGTATTATTTCGGATGCTGCCGCCGCCCGCGCGCCAACCACGCTTCCCTCCCTCTCGACCTCCACCCTCCGAGCTTTCCGCGCAGCAGATGCCGCCGCGGCGCGGCCACGGCGATCGTCGAGACCGCCGCTGAGGCCTCGACGGCGGCCGCCACTGCGGCCGCCCTGGCGGCGGCCGCTGCGCGGCGTCTGCCGCAAGGAGGGTGCGGAACATGGAGGCCGAGGGTGTAGAAGAAGAACAAAACGCCATAAACAGAAACCTTTGGCGCTCCGTGCGGATTTCTTGGCTCCGCGGTGGATCCCCCTCCCTGGCGCGCGGAGCGCGCCAGGGGCGGCGCTGCCAGGGGCAGCGCGGATCCAAGAAATCCGCGCGGACCGCCAAACATTTATGTTTACAGTCGGGGCGTTGACCTAAGGAACCCTAAATAAGGAACGAGGCCCCTTTTTTTCCATAAGTTAAACTTCGATTACCTATGGAAAACATAGAGGAAAACCTGAGGCAAGCTGTGAAACACTTAAGGAACGCGGAGCCCCTCCCCAACCAAAAGGGTTCCTTCTTCAGGGCCCCGACTGTATGCCGTTTTTTGCTCTCCGATCGAGGGTGGCCTCGGCCATCTGGGCGGTGCACACCGTGCCAGGGCCCAGGGCTGCTCCCATTAGCTGCCCCGATGCGCAACACGCGACACGCAGCGCATTGATACGGAGCTCAGCACGCACCCTGAAAACGTAGGTCTGCCGCGATGCGTTCGCCAACACGTGGGCCAACGCGTGGAGTCAACACGCAACGTGTTGGCGCGGGCGTCTCGAGCACGGTACACGTCGTTTCTAGCGGTGCTCATTTCGAACTGTGCTCGTTTCTGATTGTTCCTGGCCCCCTGGTGCCCAGGAAGAGGCCCAGGACAGAACAACTAGAACTGAAAGGATGCTGGCCCCCCAAAAAATCAAAGAACGCTCGAAGCAGTAGAGGTGAATGGTGAGTACGTGCAGCGTGCCAAACTGTGCGTATCGAGGCAGCCAAGGCTGCCCCCGCCAGGCATCGTGGTGGTGTGCAGCCGTCGCCCCCCTGTCGTGCGCACCCCGGGGGCCGGCGCCGCAGGCCGCCCTCTGCTCACGGGGGCATCGGCGCGCTGGAAATAGCGACTCGCAAATCGCCTGGATCCGCCGCGGGGGATCTACGATAAATCACATCGAAGCAGCGACTCGCAAATCGCCTGGATCCGCCGCGGGGGGTCTACGATAAATCACATCGAAGCAGACGTGTGTGTGTGTGTGTGTGTGTGTGTGTTTCGGACGTTTGCGAGTAGGCACTATCTGCGAGTAGCGGAGCGCGCTCGGCGAGATGGGGTGCCGAGGGGACGGGGCCGCTGCCGGTGGATGCCGGGGCGGGCGCTCTCCGGCCGGACCCGGCCTGAAAGCGGGCGGCGCGTGGCCCAACTGGCTCCGGGGGGGGGGGGGGTAGGCCGCTCCGCTGGGGGGGCGGAGCCCGCTTTCTAGCCTGGATCCTTCACCCCCCTGGGAGCCACGTGGGGCGGGTGCGGTCCACTTCCGGGCGGGGTGGGGCCAGATATTGCCCACCCTGGCGTCCACTGACAGCCCCCTATCTCCTCAGCCCCCCCCCCCCCGCGCCGATCCTGGCGCGCGACGGCGGAGCGGACCAGGGCGGCGCTAGAGCTCAGGATGGCGTCCACCAGGCACGGTGGCGGTGTGCAGGTGGTGCCCCCCCCCAAACATGGGGGTGCACCAACTTTTACCGATGCGTGGGCCCTGAGGTCTGGACCACCTCCCTAGGATCAACTTTTCGTCCCGAATCGTTTTTTGACGGTCCCAGGGCCCGGAGAGGGCCCCTTGAGCCGAAAACAACCCCCAAACTGCCCGCCCCAATTTTTGTTGGAGCGTCGGATCTGAAGGGCAACGGTAGGGGGGACTGGCATGAGGGGGGATGCATCGACCTGGAAGTGGGGATACATCGCCGATAGATCGGCGATGGGCCCGCGATACGGAATCCGCACCTTCCTGGGCGGGCTGGGGCTATCAGACCCCTATCGGCGATCAATGGGCGGTTGGGGGTCGATGCATCCCCTCCCACGCCTATCCCCCCTATCGTTGCCTTTTGGTTTTCGGGCCAAAACTCGGCTCCCTGGCGGCCGTTCGGGACGATTCTGGCACCCCTGGAACGCCCTCGACGAGGCGCAGCTGCTGGAGCGCACCACGAGGCTGGGAATCGGCCGAGAATCGAGGAAAAGCTCAGAAAACTTTAACCCCCCCCCCTAGGCCTATCAACCCCCCTATCGGCCCCTGAGGATCTGGGCCTGCGCCCTGCTGGGCGGCCGGCGGAACCGAGGCGGCAGCCCTCTGCTTCGGGCGGCGGCGGCGGCGGAGGGGGCCCAGCGGGGCCGCCTTCCGGGGCGCTGGGCCCCCCCCCACCGCGGGGCCGCCGCGGCTCTACGCGCCGCCGCGGGGCGGCTGGCGCTGGCTGTGCATTAGCGGCTGGCTGCCCTCGTCGTCCTGTCGGAGGCTATCAGAGGAGGAAGGCACCCATACCTCTACCCTGCCTTCGTTTTCCCCTTTTTGGGCCTCCTCGGAGGCCTTCGTCGCCACCGCTGGATTCGCCTCGGAATTCTGGTCAGACCGTACCCCGTGAGAGGTCCGGGGAGTAGCGACCCGGACCTGTCGGAGGTTCGGGCGTGTTTTCGCCCCAGTTTCAGGCGCGTGGGTCCTCACAGACCGATCCGGCTCGAAGAATGACGCAGAAAGCTGGGGTCTGGGCTCTGGTCGTGATTTTTTGCGGTGTTGATTTGTTTTGCAATGTCGGATCTCAGGGTCCGACGCTCGAGAAGGAGGAGGAGGGGGAGGGGGGAGGGGAGGGGGGAGGGGAGGACGAGGAGGAGGACGAGGAGGAGGAGAGGAGGAGGAGGAGGAGGAGGCGGAGGAGAGAGGCGGAGGAGGAGGAGGAGGCGAGGAGGGAGGAGGAGGAGATGAGGATGAGGAAGAGAGAGGCGAGCGGAGGAGGAGGAGGAGGAGAAGGAGGGAAGGGGGAGGGAGGAGAGAGGGAGAGGCGATGTAGTTGAGTCCTGGCTCCCTTCGCGGGGCGCCCGGGCGAGGCCCTCCCCGGCGGGCCCGCGCGGCGCGCGCGCCCCCGCAGCGCCGCGGCGGCCAGCAGCAACGCCGCCGCGGCCGGCAGGGCGCCCGCGGCGGCTGGCAGGGCGCCCGCGCTGCGCGCGGGGGGCGCACCGGCGCCGCCGAGACCCTCCCGCAGCCCGGCCTCGAGGGGCTGGAGGGATCCCAGACGTGATCGCGTCGTGCAGAAAATCAGGGCGGCAAGTTTTTGACCATTTTCGGCTTGGGGGGGCCCTCGCCAGGCCTCGGGGTTGTCAGCAAAAAACGGCTCGGGATGAGAATCCGGTCCCGGGAAAAGGGTCGGGACTTCCTGGGAGCCCGTATTGAAAAAATCAGGACGTCGCACGTCTGGGATCGACTCTCGAGGATGGAGGCCCGCCTTCGAGGCTCGAGGGGTCGACCCTCGAGGAGCGAGGATCGAGGGATCGACTCTCGAGGATCGAGGCTTAGGCAGGTTCTTGTTGCTACTGGGGCGCCTTCTTGGCCATGGCCGGATCCGTTCTCGAGGGGCTGGAGGATCGACTCTCAAGGAAGACGACGACGAGGAGGACGACGACGAGGAGGACGAGGAGGAGCATCGGTACCTTTTCCTCCTCTAGCCCGTCCTCGAGGGGCTGGAGGGATCGACTCTCGAGGAGCGAGGCCCGCCTTCGACTCTTGAGGATCGAGGCTTGGCCAGGCTCTGGTGGTTCGGGGGCGCCACCACGGCTGGAGCCGCCTCGTCTTTCTGCGTAGCCTGGTCTCGAGGGGCCATTTCCAGACCCCCTCGCGTTGCGAAGAAATCGCGACGAAAGGTTTTTCGCTATTTTCGGCCTCCAGGGGCCCTCACCGGGACTCGGGACCGTCAAACACGACTCGAGATGAAAACCGGCCCCGGGGAAGGGGTCCCCAGACCTCTGGGGGTCGACGTTGCGAACAAAACACGACGTCGGGGGTCTGGGTTCCCTGGGATCCTGGCGTCTCATCTCTTTCCAGCCGGGCGTCTCCGCAATTTCGGGCCCTGGGGCCCTCACCGATCGATCCGGCTCGAAAAGACTGGTGCAGAAAGAGTGGGCAAAGAAGCGTGTGAGGATTGTGCCGACATGGGCTCTGGGCCGCCATGCGGACCCTGCCGCTGGGGCCACAAAACGTATGGTGGGGTGTGCTGAGTCTGGTGCGGGGCCGCTATGCGGATCCTGCCGCTAGTTCGTTGGCGCTCCCAATGGGGCAACGAAACGTGTGAGGGATGTGCCGAAATAGGGCACGGGGGTGTGAGGAGGAGGAGGAGGAGGAGGAGGAGGAGGAGGAGGAGGAGGAGGAGGAAAGAGATGATGAGGAGGTGAGGAGTAGGAGGAGGAGGAGGAGGAGGAGGAGGAGGAGGAGAGGAGGAGGAAGAGGAGGAGGAGGAGGGAGGGAGAGGAGTGGAGGAGAGGAGGAAGAGGAGGAGGAGGATGAGGAGAAGGAGGAGGAGTGGGAGGAGGAGGAGGAGGATGAGGACGAGGAGGAAGCGGAGGAGGAGGAGGAGGAGGAGGATGAGGAGGAGGAGGAGGAGGAGGAGGAGGAGGAGGAGGAGGAGTCGAGGCCGGGAAATTGTGGAGTCGCTGTGGGTTCCAGACGAGTTTTTACGATCTTTCACGTTGCTCCTCATCATTACCCTTACCATTACCATTACCATTACCATCTCCATTGCCATTACCATTACCATTACCATTACCATTGCCACTACCACTACAACTACCACTACCACTACCATTACCATTACCCTTACCATTCCCATTCCCATTACCATTCCCATTGCCAGTGCCAGTACAATTGCCATTGCCAGTCCATTCCTATGCCCATTCCCATTCCCATTCCCATTCCCATTCCAAATACCATTACCATTACCATTACCATTACCATTACCATTACCTTTACCTTTACCCTTACCCTTACAATTCCCATTTCCGTTACCACTACCACTACCATTCCATTCCCATTCCCATCCCGATTCCCATTCCCATTCCCATTGCCATTACCATTACCATTACCTTTACATTTACCTTTACCTTTACCTTTACCATTACCATTACCATTACCATTACCATGGCCATTTCGATTGCCGTTGCGTTTGCCATTGCCATTCCCATTGCCATTGCCATTGCCATTACCATTACCATTACCGTTGCCATTGCCACTGTATTGCCATTGCCAGTCGCTGACCCGTTACCATTACCATTACCATTACCGTTACCATTACCATTACCATTGCCATTACCCCTGTCATTGCCATTGCCATTGCCATTGCCATTAGCCACTACCATTACCATTGCCATTACCATTACCGATACCATTGCAATTACCATTACCATTACCTCTACCATTACCATTACCGCTGCCATTACCATTACAATTCCCATTCCCATTCCCATTCTCATTGCCATAACCATTACCGTTACCAATACCATTACCATTACCATTGCCGTTACCATTGCCATTACCATTACCACTACCACTACCATTTCCATCCCCGTTCCCGTTCCCATTACCATTACAATTCCCATTCCCATCCACATTGCCATTCACATTACCATTACCTTTACCTTTACCATTACCATTACCTTTACCTTTGCCATTACCATTACCATTACCATGACCATTACCATTGCCATGGCCATGGCCATGGCCATGGCCATTGCCATTGCCATTACCATTACCATTACCGTTGCCATTGCCATTGTCATTGCCATTGCCAATCGCTACCCCGTTACCATTACCATTACCATTACCGTTACGGTCACCATTACCATTACCATTACCATTACCATTACCATTACCGCTGTCTTGAAAATTACCATTACCATTGCCGTTGCCATTGCCATTGGCCACTACCATTACCATTGCCAGTACCATTACCATTACCATGACCATTACCATTACCACTGCCATTGCCATTACCATTACCATTACCATTACCATTACCTTTACCTTTACCTTTACCTTTACCCTTACCCTTTACCTTTTACCTTGTCCTTTACCTTTATGGTAACGGCAATCGCAATGGCAAGTGCGATTCCCATTTCCGTTACCACTACCACTACCGTTCCCATTCCCGTTGCCGTTACCATTCCCATTCCAATTCCCATTCACATTACCATTACCATTACCAATACCATTACCATTACCATTGCCATGGCCATTACCATTGCCATTGCCAATCCCATTGCCATTGCCATTCCCATTGCCGTTGCCATTGTCATTGTCATTGCCATTGCCAATCGCTGCCCCGTTACCATTACCATTACCGTTACCATTACCATTGCCATTACCAGTATCATTAGCATTACCTCTGTCATTACCATTACCATTACCATTGCCATTGCCCTCTGCCACTACCATTACCATTATCATTACCATTACCATTGCCATTACCATTACTATTACCATTCCTGTTACCAATACCAGTGCCATTACCATTACCATTGCCATTGCCATTACCATTGCCACTACCATTTCCATTCCCGTTCCCGTTCCCATTCCCACTCCCATTCCCATTTCCATTCCCATCCCCATTCCCATTTTCATTACCTTTACCATTACCATTACCATTACTATTGCCATGGCCATTACCATTGCCAGTGCCATTGTCATTGCCATTCCCATTGCCTTTACCATTACCATTACCGTTGCCATTGCCATTGTCATTGCAATTGTCTGTCGCTACCCCCTTACCATTACCCTTACCGTTACCATTACCATTATCAGTACCATTGCCATTACCACTGTCATTACCATTACCATTACCATTACCATTACCATTACCATTGCCATTCGAGGATTCCAGTAGGAATCATTCAGTGGAGTGTTTCAGTAGGAATCCACATGTGGAGGATTTCGGTAGGAATCATTCAGTGGCGGGTTTCGATAGGAATCCTTCTGTCGAGGATTTCGCTATGAATCCTTCTTGTGGGGGCGTTCACTAGGAATCCTTCTAGGGGGAGGGCAGATGAGGCCACGTCGCATTCCTTTCCCCCCCAAAAAAAAAGAAACAGCCACAAACAAATCCGCCGTGCTTTTTTGTTTTTTTGTTTTCTCTCTCTCTTTTTTTGGGGAGGGGCGGGACACCGGGATAACAAACAACAGAGAGGGAGGAGGAGGAGGAAGAGGAGGAGGAGGAGGAGCAGCAGGAGGAGGAGGAGGATGAGGAGGAGGAGAGGGGTGAGGAGGAGGGGGAGGAGGAGGAGAGTGCGTTTCCTTGTTCCTCCCCCCCCCCCTCAAGTCCAAACACGGGATGTCCTGCCAGTTTTTTGGGGGAGGGGAGGGGGGGAACGCACAAACAACAAACCAAGTGGAAGCGGGAGGGGAGGAGAGGAGAGGGGAAGAGGAGGAGGAGGAGGAGAGGAGAGGTGGAGGAGGAGGAGGAGGAGGAGGAGGAGGAGAAGGAGGAGTCGCGAACTCAGCGCGAAAGCCTCGCGCGCGCGCCCTCGACCCCCTGCGACTCCACACTTTCCCGTTCTCGAGGAGGAGGAGGAGCAGGAGGAGCAGGAGGAGGAGGAGGAGGAGGAGGAGGAGGAGCAGGAGGAGGAGGAGAAAAGGAGGATGATGAGGAGGAGGAGCAGGAGGAGGAGGAGGAGGAAGAGGAGGAGGGAGCAGGAGCAGGGGCAGTGGCAGGAGGAGGAGGAGGAGGAGGAGGATGAAGAGGAGGAACGCTGGGCGCTGTTCAAAAACGCGGACCCAACACCACAGGATGGTTGGAAGATCCGCCACCGTGCACCCTGGCACGGTGAGGCGCGCTAGAATGCCAAGCGCTGTCTGGTAGGGCTTTTGTGATCTTCTAAGGGCCCCTCCTCCTGGCCGGGTAGAGTCGCGTGCATCGCCCAAGCTCCTGGAGGGTCCCTAGGCGGCCATGGCGCCTCCCTGAGGTTCTCCAAGGCTTCCATGACGGCCCAGGAGGCCCCGAAGACGGTCCAAGAGGGCCCCGAGTCGCCGAACGATCGCTCGAAGATGCCCAAGATGGCTTCACGATTACACAAGATGCTCCCAAGGCTCCCCAAGAGGCATCCAAGAGGTCT